AAAACCTCCCCAAAAAAGATTGAAACCTATGATTGTTTATCCAGCATGAACGAAAATATAGTCACAAATGACGAGCCAAAATATACGCTCACAAATGACAGGCCAAGAACAGCTCTGCCGAATGAAAAGGAAAAATGTACATTCACTAGCAAAAATGTACAAACACAAACTGAGAGCCAAAAGATGCATGTTACAGCTTCTTGGAACCACAGGTGAGAGCTGATGTATTGACCACTAAAAAGTGCATTCAGTCGATATGACTTATATACTATTTTGTCTTCAATTCAAGTTATGTTATTTTTCCAACCTGTACATTTAATGAGCAGACTACTTTGCTAACCGTCGCGTTTATTCCAAATTATTTGGTAATTAAAAATGAAAGTTACTTTGAAAAATAACTGTGTTACAAATACATCAATTAAATCCTTACTTCAATGGCATTTTAACTGCTAAAAATTATTATATAGTGGTACGAAGGGGGCAGAACTCATCATTAGCAAAACTGTTTCACTGGTTGTCTCTCTTAGCATTCGTGTTTATATGATTAAGTGATTCGTACGACTTAATTTAATTGAAGCCACCACTTAAACCCTTGCACATACAAACTATCAACCGTGAAAATGTGTTTAAAACCGATGCAAACACCCATATTACTGCATTGGGCAAGTCTAAAATTAGATATTTTACTCTCTTTACTGCCTTCTCATCCGGCCTGTGGAGACCATTTTGTCTATGTCTATGGAAAAAAGTACGGAAAACAATGTGTATCCTGCAAAGATCACCCACCGCTTACGTGGACGTTATGTGTTTACTGAATTAAAATATAGGGTGAAGTAGTTCTTTGCTATGTGTAGCTTGTTTACAACGTTTACTCGTGCGTACACTCTGGTTGACCCCACATGAGACGCTACTTTCATAGATGAGCTTGGCTTAGTCTTTTGATCTGTTTTGTTTATTTCCGAGTATTATTCTTTGTGTGCTCATATTTTTTTTTATTTCGCATTCATCATTATTAATTGGCACATTGTACTTCTTGTGTACCGGTACAAGATTTTCCAATACTCTGTACGTTGATGATTTGTAATTATTTTTCCTTTGTTTTATAAGTGTATTATTACTAAATTAAATCTTACTAATTGTAATTGGCAACTGTTTTGGGTATTTTTGTTATTGTATTTCTCTATGGTAGGCACTGTTAGAACGAGCCATAACTTTAAATTAGGAGATTAATTGCTCACAATAGAAGCCAGTGCGTAACATTCTTAAGATTGCATCTTTACAATGATGCAAAAATATCCCGCAACGTTGGGTAAGAATTATGGTCATATTGTTGCCATTTTCTTTTCAAAAATGAAATAGAAAGATATTGCTTCATTCGTCCTGAGTAGTAGCGGTTACGGTAAAATTTCGTCAAAAGAAACTTCAATGTGCCATTTTAGTGGTTCCTATAATATTTCCATGCTTATGCAATTTATTTCCTAAATTACAAAATCAACTCACATCCCAGCCGAAATTTTTCAGTAAATCCTGAAATGAAATTGAATCCTTAACAAAGGCCGTTTATAAAGTTTCCAACGTCCTGGATAAAAGTGGTAAACCTTTACAGATGGTGAAGTAGTGAAGGAATAGATATTGGTGATGACTGAGGAACTTTACCAGAAAAGTACACACCAATTTGAAAATGTAGCTTTGGGTGCAAATACCATTGCTCGCCGTTTTGCAGACTTGAGTGAAAACATTGTGAGGCAAATTTTTGTACTTGCAATGGATAAATCACCGGACAGCTGCTTTTGTTCATTAGAGATGGAGATGAAGACATGAGCACAAAATATGAGCTGGCTTAGCTACATAGAATGTACGACACTGTTACCGGAGAGGATATATTCGATGAGGGGGAAAAAAAGAACTTGCTGATTATAATTTGGGCTGGACTAACCTCGGTTTGCACTAGTGTTGATGGAGGAGAGAATATGAGGGGCACAAAGAAATGCTTCGATGGGCAAGTGAAGCATGTGTGTAATGAGGAAAACTTATACAACCAATGTTCCTAAACTGTATTATGCACCACAAAGCTTTTTGCGTTAAATATGTGGGCATTAGCAGTGTAATGAATCCTGTGGTGAAGATGGTGACTTTAATATCACACGGGCTCAATAATAGACAGTTCAGTGACATGTTGAAATATACAAATAGAATCGCATAATGTACCAAATAACACAGCAATAAGATGGCTAAGTTGTAAGAAAGTTTTGATCAGACGATTTATGTTAAGAAATAAAATAGGTCACTTCATGGAAAGTAAAGGCAAAAGACAGCTGTTACTGTCTGATTAAGAGTGGGTATGGCATTGGCTTTTGCTGCAAATATAACTAGTCATTTGAATTTTCTGAGCCTAAAACTGCAAGGAGGGTAAAATCTAGTATCTGATCTATACACCCATCTAAAGGCCTTCCAATCCAAACCAGTCGTCTTTTTGGAACAAGTACAATCCAACAACTTTAAAAAAAAAATTAAGCAGTGCAAGGTCTTTATGGCTGAAGCAACAGTGGATTTTCTCACAAAATTTGCATGCAAGATCATCAATGATCTCCATCTGATATTTCAGCAGCGGTTTTTTTTTTAAAACTTTTATTCAAAGGTAGAAGAATTGAGACTATTTTGAAAACTGATTGAAGCAGATGTGGCCTGTTGCCCATATAAACTTCAGTTTGAGGTCATTGAGTTGCAAGCAAATGACCTCCTTAGGGACAAGTTCAAAGAATTACTGTTTGGTTTTTACCAGCTTTTGCCCCAGGAAGACTTTCCTAATATAAAAACGCTTGCATCAAGGTACCTTTACATCTTTGGAACAAAATAAATGTGTGAACAAACACAATTCAAGAAAGAAATATGTGAAGAAAAGTTTGAGAACAAATGTGTCTTATGATATTCCTAGGTAACTATTAATGTTAGGGACATCACAACTAAAGCTAAACGTGTCTGCTATTTTTGCAAAAGGAAAAAAAAAATCCCCATTTCAACTATTAAAGGTGTTAATGTTTAGTTTATCAATTTTTTATCAAATTAAAGCTGAATAGAATATTATTAAATAAATAAATAACAACACTATTCAACTTTGAATTTTTTCGGGGGGGGGGGGGGGGGGTGGGGATCTCGAGTGTGTAGTATCTGTCAAACTGCTGTTTAAAAGTTGAAGCGGCTCTTGGGCTGAAACGTTTGGAGACCCGTACTCTAAATAATAAGCGGAGTCTTCACAGCTTTCTTAAATGAGATAAATCCCCAAAGCAAAATCCTGTGTCCCTACATGTGATTTTGAGCAATATTTACAAAGATAATAATAATAATAATAATAATTTTTTTTTGAAAATCAAACTTCATCTCCCAAAGGCTCAAAGATCGATACATAACCTATTATATTAAAAGAGAAATGAATCAACCTACAATATACCACATTGAAATAAAAAATGCAACATTTCAAAAACTATATACGAGAATACCCATTATAAGTTTTTCACATATCTAGCAACCATAAACAACAAATACCAATACACATCTACAAGATAATAGCTAGAGAGACAATAATACCAAAACAGTTGTTTGCGAAATAGATATGTCCTCAAATCAGTTTTGAAAGACGCCAGTGACTGACTTTTTCTGAGAGTTACCGGAATTGTGTTCCAAATTGTGGGGCTTGCCAAAGCGAAAATGCGCCCCTCGTAAGTCTGAAGGCGAACACGTGGTATGAATAGTTTCCCCCTATCAGATGAGCAGAGTTGTCTAGTTGGTACATAAGGCGTCAGCACCTGTTTGAGCTAGGACGGTGCCAAGTCATGCAAGCAGTGGTAGCAAAGAGTTGCAATTGTTTACTAAATGCGAGCGCGGACCGGCAGCCAATTCAACTCTCTCAGAAGTGTTTCATCATGGTCCAGTTGGTATTTGCAAACAACAGTTCGAGCCGCATTATTCTGTGCTTTTTAATTTTATTCAGGAGCCTAGCTGGAAGACCCACCATAAGAGCAATACAGTAGTACATGCGTGATAGCACGAATGCAGACAACAGCCTCTTTGATGCGTCGAACGTTAAGAGATATTTGATATAGCTAATCCTGCGCAGCTTAGAAAAATCGCCTTGCAAAGCATGTTTATGTGATTTTGCAAAGTAAGTGTTCTATCTAGGTAGACACCCAGAATACGCACCGTTTGAGCAAACTCAATCCACACAACTGAGAGAGTAACTGATGTGTTATTTACAGATTTTTACATCTGAGTGGTGGCAATGGGGATCAGCTCAGTCTTTTCATCATTCAATTTGAGCTTGTTTATGTTCATCCAGTGCTTAACTGATTTCACTGTCTTCTGTGTCATACTAAGAAGCTGAGGAAACTGAGAGGGGATCACAGATTGCTGAAGCTGGACGTCATCCGCGAACATGTGATATTGCATTCCAAACTTCTTGACCACAGCACACACGGGCTGAACCTACATAGTGAAAAGAAATTGGCCTGAGACCGAGCCCTGGGGTACTCTGAATTTTATAATAGATTGCTTTGAGGTCAAGCTGTTTGCAATAACTGATTGGACCCGATTTGTTAGATAAAAGTGGAACCATTTCAGGACGACATGGGTGAAACCGAACGTATTTTCCATACGTTGGAGAAGTATGCCGTGGTCAAGCGTATCGAACGCATCCGATAGATCAAGTAGCGTGAAGTTCGCTGTGCACGTAAATCAACGTTAAAATGTAAATTTATTCAGAGAGAACATAATTTATCAACTAAATTGCAGTTACACATGTTACAGTGCAAGTTTTTTTTTGCTTTTGATGTTTATTTTCATTTAAATAGCAGGGAGGTAGCTACTAACAAATATTTTAGTACAGCTCTTGTCCCTCCCGAAAGCGTAAAGAATATATGTTTGTGGAGAATATGACGTGGGACAGGGAATTCAATAAAATAAAACATATTATGAATATTAAAACCAAGCAGTTAATTAAAAGAAATAATGTCTGTTTTTACATTAAGGAACGCATCTGGTGGACGTACATTCGAAATTTAAAAAAAAAAGGAATTTAATGAAAATATACATGTACACAAGGGAACTGCATAAATCTTACACGAAGGAATAAATACAATTATTTAACACTAAAACAAAAAGGAATAATTTCGAGTATTTTTTTTATATTTGTCATTAGTAGGTTTAGTTAATTTAGATTTCAAATGTGTTTATTTTTTTATGAATAAATATATTTTATTATAAAATTGTATGAACCTAACTTTCAGCTAAATTAAAAAAAATAATATGTTATATTTAAAAACAACGAAAAACTACATATGCATATTATATGAATAACACAAGGGAAAAACTGGCAGGGTCACAGATTTCTTGTTTTGAGATATTCCATTTTTAAAGTTCAAAACCATGCACATTAAAAATGTATTAACAAAATGTAATTTTTAAAATGCATTTCACAAAAGTGTCCATTTCCGTGAGTTATTAGATACATTATTTCAATCTTGAATGTAACATGATTTATTTCTTTATAGTAGAGAGTGGGGTCAAAATGGACTCTACCGTTTTTTCCCTTGTAGAAGCTTATCAAGGTTCTATCATTGATAATTATCTATTTAAAACTATTTTATAAGTAACTGTTCACATTTAGGGGTCGTTGGTAAATTACGTCACGCTCAGAGGGGGTGGGTCGAGAATATGCGACACTTTGTGACTGTGGAAGGGGAGGGGTCAAAATATGGTGACTTCACTTTTATTAATCTCTAAAAATGTCTAATTCAGAAAAAATCTTAATTTAATTAATTTTAAAAAATATTTATTTGAGGTGACATGTTGTAGCGACCCCCAAGCATAAAATTATTTACGTCGCTACTTCATAAGTGTAGAGGATATGCGTTTTCCCATTTGAAAGGGTCATTCGACCCCCAAAATGTTCGCGAAACAACAGGCTGAGAACCGCTTCATTGGATAAATATAAATAAATCAATTTTATTCCATTAATTTATAGAAACTTTTTAAAATTCTTTCCGAAAAAAAAACCTAAGGCCTTTCATGGATTGTTAATTTGGTGCGGAGACAGCAATTCAGATTTCGAAAAATTGAAATGAGCAAATCACATTAGGAGAAAAGCTACAAAGACGAGGTAGCAAAAGAATAAATTATGCGTACGCGTAAGTAGGTGAGATCGGGCACCCCAAAATATTGCTAAGGAAAGTCAGTGTTCGTTCACATAAAAACGTTAGCAAAAATGACCACACTTATGTCTTACTTTATGAAGTATAACTGTTATAGTGTCTTGTACAAACACACCGATGCTGGTGAATTTGTAAAAGAGGCTGATCCAAACTTTTGGAATCTTGGCACCAAATGGCATGAATTTCATGTTCTCCTACATTTGGTCAACCTTTTTTCCGCCCATACTCGTTTCGACCGATTGCAGCGGAGTAAATGTTCGTCTCTTCCCTAGCATTCTGAATGAATGTAATCACTCAACTACTAATGTTCTGTCACTGCCCCCTTGCTTGTCTCTGTGTCACTACATTTCATCTAAGTGTTTATTTTCTTTTGTTTTTAATGTTCGTATGCTTAATAAGGCTTTCTGCACGATCGTTGCTTTGTTGCTTACATTTTTTACAGGTTTTCCAATTTTGTTGTTTTGCTCATTTAATTTTTTTCATTAAAATTAATAAATTTCTAAAAAGATCAAATGTTTTGTTTTAAATGATATATTTTAACACGCAGAGATTTAAAATCACTACAAAATTAAACTCGATACAATTTGAGCCACACTTCATCAACGTTTTTATGGGAACTTTTGCATTTAAAGTGGAAGATAAGATGGCGCTGGCGGTAGTTTTGGTAGTCGTGTTGACAGTGGATGTTGTTTGAGATGTACTGGAAATCGTAGGATCTGTAGAATTCATCAGACTTTGGTCTGTAGAAATCACCAGAGTCGTACCTTGAGTTGTCATCAGATCTGTTATTTCGACAAAAAAAAAAGTATGCTTAATTTGAAAGGAATCTTTCTGAACGTATCCAACTTCTCTTCTATCTTGGATGTAGATCATCTCATTTACATTTAGACAACGGAATTTTTTTTTAAAAAATGATTAACATAGGTTTTATAATACAAAGTTAAGAGATATACATCAGTAAACAAAACCATCATTCTAGAGAAAATAAGTAAATTTTATGTGATCAGAAATATTTTATGTTACACTGATGATTTTTTTCAAACTTGTTCTATCATAATTTGCATTGCTTGCTAGCAACAAGTAGGTGTTTTATTATAAATGTTGTTTTATTCCATATGATGTCTTTGTGATAAATTCCATCTTTTTAAATTGCATTGTACTGGAAAAATATGTCCAAGATTAACATTGAATCTTGTGGATTTGGCATTAATTCGTTTGTTAATGAACCATTTATATACTGAGAATAGAGGCAATGCTGTGACTCTGTTTCATTTAAAACCGAGGTGTATTTTTTTATTCTTTACATAAACTTTGACAATATATTCAATAAACCGATGTAAAAGGGCATTTAAATGAAATGCATCAGACTTTGGTCTGTAGAAGTCATTAGACTTTGGTCTGTAGAAGTCATTAGACTTTGGTCTGTAGAAGTCATTAGACTTTGGTCTGTAGAAGTCATTAGACTTTGGTCTGTAGAAAACATTAGACTTTGATCTGTAAAAGTAATTAGACTTTGATCTGTAGAAGTCATTAGAGTTTGGTCTGTAGAAGTCATTAGACTTTGGTCTGTAGAAGTCATTAGACTTTGGTCTGTAGAAGTCATTAGACTTTGGTCTGTAGAAAACATTAGACTTTGATCTGTAGAAGTCATTAGACTTTGGTCTGTAGAAGTCATTAGACTTTGGTCTGTAGAAGTCATTAGACTTTGGTCTGTAGAAGTCATTAGACTTTGGTCTGTAGAAGTCATTAGACTTGTGTGTGTAGATGTCATCAGATTCGTAACTGGAGTTGTGGTCAGAGCTGTCAAGTTTTTTTTTTTTAAGTTGTTAAGCTTTATTGGAATATGATTTGCTGAAACGTACTTTACTTCTCTTCCATCTTGGGCGAAGATTAACTCATTTAAATTTTCACACTAAAATTGTTTTTAAATGTCAGATTAGTGATTTGTATCATAACGGTAAGATGTATTCGCCAGTTAAGAAAGCTGCAAAATAAATTAATATGAAAATGAAACATCATGGTTTTAGAAATATTTATGTTTTTTTTTGGTTGTTGTTTTTTTTTTTTATTTGGTTTAACTTATTTTGCATTGTTTGCTAGCAACAAGAGGGCATTTAATAATAGATAAAAGCTGTATGCCCATGTGATGTGAACTTGCTTAATTTCTTTGTTTTAACTTGTATTGTAAGGTAAATAACATGTCCAACGGTAACATTATTAATGAATGCATTTTGTTTATAAATTGGATACATTTGTTTGATAATACAACTGGTTTAAACCAATGATGGAAAACAAATGTTTAATTGTCTTATGCAAGCGTCATGCCGAGCTAGTTTCATTCTTTAAATTACTTGGCAATTTGACCATTTGACCAAAGTCACATTGAATTTAAACGAAGTACCTTTCTGCATGCAAAGAAAGGGAGATTGCTGAGTACATTCAGAAGTATAAGCTTCAATTTGGGTTCTCGTCTTCACATAGATATACACACAGCCTTGCAATTCTGGTTGATACTCAGCCCAAAACAATGATAACTCAGGGGCAGCTGTATTGTCTTCTTGCCACACGAAGTCTTGCTGTGAAGCCAGGTCGTTGGCACCGATCCACATGGTACTATCTGCAAAGTCAATACATACAAGAAAACTTTGTCACGGAAAAAAAAGTAACTAGAAGTCGCATTAAATGCGCAACAGGGTTCGGGGTGGGGTTTGGGTGGGTAGAGGGACTATAGAGAACTGATCTAAGATTTAACTCGAATGTTTTCTTGTCTCTTAAAAATTATATTTCTTCACTGTGCAATAGAAGAGGTTAAAAACTTAAAGTTTTGAGGAGTGGGAAGGGAGGGGGCGCTGTCTCTAGAGGGAAATACTTTTGTTTGGACGTTTTTCTGGCTTTGTTGTAAGGGCTGAGAAAACATTTTCAATATCGTCAACAACACAGAGAGGGAGACAGAGAGAGACAGAGAGAGAGAGAGAGAAAGAGAGAGATAGAGAGAAACATATTCCTTAATATGCTGTGCTACTTAATGTTTGGAAAATATATATTTAATCCTACAATTTTTTGTATGCTCAATCTTGAAATTTTTTTGGAACATTATAAAGTAGGTGATGAATAACCAAGGTCATATTGAGACTTCAATGCTTGGGAGAAAGGGTTGAATAAGTTTAACTAAAATGGAATAGCTATCAAAGACTAACAAACTTAACTTTTAAATTAAAACAAATAGACATGCACATTTCACGAATATAAATTGCAATATTGTTGATATTTGTCAACAGACAACTAAAACCTTATAGGAAGAAAGTTGAATTGAATAAATTGTAGTCTCATTTTAGTAAGAAAGTAAATCAACATAATAATTATTATGTTACATGTAGGAAGATAATGAATAAGGAAGCTGGACATACACATGACTGATCACTTGTCCCGTCAAAGCTTGCAGATAAAATTAATGGACATCTTTTTTTTTTTTGAAAAGGAAAGAAACAGCGACAGAGAAAATGAAAGAGACAAAAAATTCAAATGACAGTTTAAATGTGTACAAAAAAAGCCCAGATAGTAAGACCACAAAGATGTACTATGAAATAAATTAGATGATAATTGACATTGATTATATTCCAAACCTATTCAATATCAGACAGGAGCTCTGATTAAAAGTCTTGAGCCAAAATCTCTTCCACGGGCAGGTCAAATGGTTTAGTTTATACCAGCAAAGACCAACTTTGAATAATTGTAAGCATTTTTGGATCGGGAACAATAATGCCCGACTGAAAATGAATAGGATTAGCCATCCGTTCCTAATGCTGTCGACCAGCCTACTTTGAAAGCAAACAAAGGTGAGGACTTCAGTATAAATACCTTTAAATACAAGTGATGCAACAACTGCATTAAGATAACCTTAAATGTTTATCAGACTTAACGTTTCGACTAAATCCTTGTCAAACATTTTGTATAACACTATCCGATAGATCAAGAGTTCTTCCTCATTATGAGTTTTATCAGGTAGAAGCAGGCAGAAGAATATTTATTTACCTAAACTATGTAACTTACTTAGTTGTGCCTGAACGGTTACGTCAAGTAACTGAGTCTTTGACTTTACTTTGGCCAGAACTCCACCTTTTGATTTGCATTCATCCTGGAATAGATGTATTTTACATTGAAATTATCATTTTCTTTCTTAATTTAATAACTTGTTCCTGCGGTAGTCAACAAAATTATTTTTTTAAAAAGGGAGATAACAAATACACCAACCAAATCACATAAAAATTCAATTCTCAAGAGTTAGAAGCGAACAGTCAGCCAGCTTTGCATTTAATGTGTAATACAGGAAGCGACTGCAATCAAGTTAACAAAAATGGAAATGCGTAAAAGAAAGTAAGTTAAAACTGGAAGAAAAAAAAAAAGAACGCAACAAACAACGAACGTTTCGGCAGGAACCCTGTGTCTGTGAACAAACATCAGAAAACCAGAATATATATATATATTTAAAATAGCACTTAGCTCAGAAAAAGTTTCTGAGAGGGCAGCAAAAGAATTGTGACAGAAAATAAGTAGGTGAGAGATTACATATCAAAAAGAGAAAAGAATAGGAGATGTTAAACCTCTGTGATTGGCCATGACGTGAAGGGGCGGGTCTAGGCTCTGGCTGCGAATAAAGACCTAAAGTCCATGACTTGTGGTAATTAAATAATTTTTTTCTGTTATTTGTTCACTGATGCAGGTTTTCTGCTGACACGTTACTTGTTTTGTTGCGTTACTTTTTTTCAGGTTTGACCTTACTTTGTTTTACTCAATTCTTATGCATCTAAAAGCATTTAAAAATATATGTTTATAACTTATAAGTGTATTACACCATCATCAGTAAAACACAAAAGAAGGTATAGGTCAATAATTAAATTGCATTTCTATGTTTTCGAAGTCTAGGCTATCATATTTAAAACTCACTGTGTACAAAGCTGCAAAGCACTTGACACAAAGTCATTTGCACTTATTAAATATTTACTTTTATTTCAAGACACTTTCATCTGATAGGTACTCCCATCGGTAATGTTGGTTCCGCTAACAGTTTTAACCAAATAACCAATTTTACTAGTGGGATCTCTGGCAACAAAACTAACATTAGCTGTCGTAACACTTAGACATTCAGCGGTAGATTAAATCGCTCTCCCCAATCCGCTGCTGACCACCTGCACACTACTAACTAACGCACATATTCTGGTGAAGGTCTGAGATTACTCTCTTATGACCCCGGCTAGTAAATTAGCTATCAACTCAATCTGTTGAGCTGAGCCATACAACATTTCCATCACAAAGGATCCTCCAACCGCCCTGGCTTCCCCCGGGAGATCTAGTGCGGGACATTCAGTCAACAGATGCTCTAAGGTCTCTGGGGCCAGGCTGCAATGCACATTACTACATTCTTAAGTAGCACCTCCGTTTATACTATTTATACGCTTAGTGTCGCATCCGCATTCAGGCAGACAACACTAACTCTTTCTTCTCATTCTTAAAAAGACTCATTGACAGCCCAGAATATCGTGACGTCATATAGCTTTTCAGTTGTGCATCTGAAGGGCACCTAGAATGGTTTATACCATAATACCCTTAGAGTTTTATGTAATGTCCTACCATCTAATAAACTTGACCAGAACAGGCAGACAATATACCAATTTTTCAGCGTAATTACATTTGAATCCGAGTAAGAAAGCTGTCTAGCATCGTACAGGAAACACGTGCCTTCAGAGAAAATAGCCCCTGGCTCAGTGCATTCTGAAAAAGTATTATATGAAACTAGAGTCATTTTAATGCAATTTAAAAGTTTAGGAGATTGTTATATCTTTTGAAATGAATTAAACTACATTCAATCTATATTTCCAAATAAATAATCATAGCTTTCATCCTGAATAAAAAGTCCACGCTTTATTATCCGTTTGATATTATTGTTAAGTGCAAAGAAATGATGTGATTATTACGTATAATAATGTAATATACTAAATGTAACATAACTGGGTTATTTCCTTGTCTATAATCACACAGTCTACCACAATTTAGTTACTATCTATCATCAACAGAGGCGTCGTATATTGCAATGAAATATAGTGACTATACTTTATAATATACGCAATTACAATAATAATCACAAATAGATAATACTTGTACCGATCTTAAAGAACACTTAGAATAAATATTCTCCACTTGATAACGTCACAGTCACAATCTATTCATTATCTTATATCATACTATTAATAACATGGTATTATAATAACCGCCATGACTCTATTTTCTTCTTATATTAGAGGGGCCCACGATCAATTTGTTGATCATTCTGGCTCCTAGTTTAAATTCAGAGATTGCCTTCTCTTAGATGGGTTGCCGTCCAAGGCTTACGAGTCCCATCCACCCACAGTGCTGTGACGTTGCCTTTGGTGGGGATTGATCTCCAGACCACCAACTATTTAGTTTGAAACAGTTTAGACCGCTCGGCCACCAAGCATAATACACCAATATTTTCTCCTGTACTCTAGATCCTCATCTCTAATTAGTCCCTCTTACCAAGTTCCATACTCTATAAATTACAAGTCATAAGTCTCTGTGACAGTTATTCTATGTAATAAAATTATATTTTATAAAGAAACCTCTACAAATATATTTTTAATTAGCTTTTTTTTTTTGCGTTATTTAATACTTTTCCATTTCGCTTTTATTGAATAGTGTTGTTTTCCCCCTATCCCTACAATGAAAAATGTGTTTTTTTTTCAATTATCCTTATATTGAGTAGTGTTTTATTCCATCATCCTTATAACAGCTAATACAAAAGTAACCGTATGTTTTTTGACGAAAAAAAAAACATTATTTTTTGAAAAAGTCATTTTAAAATCTACTCATAAACAGATATTTTAAGTGTATTTTAAAATTAATTTTTTTATACAGTTTTGTTTGTTTACGCCATTGCTTTGTTAAAAACAGGTCTCATGCCATGTTTTACACATACGTTATCATTTAAATACATTCCGACTTACCACTTCTCACCACTGGAAGACTGATAAATATGAGAAATAAAATGAAAGGCACATGTTTATTTCTCATTGTGAGTCTCTCTGTGTGCTAGAAATAATGTGACATTTAAGAACATTCAATAAATATTCTCTTTAAAAAATCGTTCATTTAATTCAGGGAAAATTAATCAAAACAACAAAGAAATTAAAATGCACATTTTTCCGAGTTAACAATGTGATCTTCATTTTTAAATATCGAAATTAAACTCTTATATATATAAAGATTTTTTTTTTCATTGTTAAATTTATTTGTTGTCGGCCATTAATTTTTCTTTCTATTGTTTTTCTTTTGTTAATTTAATTTTCCTATAAAATAACTGTTATGTGTCTTTTTGTATCAAAAAATATGTCAAACAGATTACATTCAAATTATAATACACGTAGAGAAAAAGTGACAGAGTGAACTGAGGAACGTAAAATAGGTATGAAGAGGGAAAAAAGGAGAAATAAAGAGAGAGCGGGGAGAGAACAGTGAAAATAGATAGAGGGAGAAAAACGAAATAGAGAGAGACGTGAAGGTATGTAGAGATACCCATAGATATAGAAAGAGAGATAGAGATAAGGAGAGTGAGAGATGCTGTTGTTGAGCTTACTATACGATTTAAATAAACATTTAGTCAATTAACCTTAAATGTAGTTCAGTCAGAAGTTGTGTTTAAAATGGCTGGACAGCTTCATAATACTATTTGCTTACCTATGTGTTGAATTGAGTTTTGTATCTGTGGCCGTGGCTCTCTCTGCATGCCAGAGACCATTAACAATAGTTCGTCTATTTATAGCAGTTTAGCAAGGGGCATTAGCGATCCTTCATGATTAGCTAACTGAACGTTGTCTGTGACAAGTTTGTACAAATACTTTTGACAATGGAAAGACGTTTTTTTTTTTTCATTTATTCCACCCCAGTTGAAAAAGAAGTAACAAAGCCGCTGCGCTGAGGCCATTGAGACAGTACGATCGATTTAAGAAGGATATTGTAATCAATCAAAAGGAGGGCCTTTTAGAAATTACCAACCTGTTAAGCAAGAAGTTATGATCATGTATCAGGGGCCATTTACATATTACGATCGTTTTAAGAGGTAGTTTAAGTTGATATAAAAGGGTGCTATCCAGATAATACGATCGTTTTAAGAGGTAGTTTATGTCAATATAACAGATCGCTATTTATACATTAGGATCGTTTTAAGAGGTAGTTTATTTAAATATAAAAGTGTGTTTTGCAGAAATTAAGATCGTTTACAGAGGTAGTTTATGTCTAGGTTAACATGTATGAGTAATAATCTGAATGACTTTAATGGACAAACATGTCACGAATATATGCAGATCAGCATACAATGAAATTAGAAAATCAGCACCATTTGACACCTCCTCTCCTTTGATGCCACAAAAACTGTCGTCTCTTCACTCATTCTTTCAAAATTTGACTACTGTAACACTCTTCTCGCAGCCATTCCTCAACACCACATAGACAAACTTCAGAAGGCACAGAACTCAGCATGCAGACTCATTTTTAAATCAAAGAAACACGACCACATTCAACCACACATGCGGCAACTCCACTGGCTTCCAAATATCCTCTCGCATCAAGTACAAGTCTGCCAATCTATGCTTCAACTCGTTCACTGACCCTCACTTTCCTGTCTATCTATCTGAACTGTTGCTTCCTTACACCCCCACAAGACAACTACGCTCTTCAATTGACAATAGAACCCTCTCAATCCCAAGAACCAAAACTAAGACAATCGGTGAACGCTCCTTCTACTTCCATGCGCCCACGTTCTGGAACCAGCTCCCCTTCCACATCCATCATTGTGAAACCTCGTCCACTTTTGCATATGACCTGTGATGCACCCTCCTAGCCCTGCCTCATTTTCTGTCTTGGGTTGATCCTGTATTTTAGGCCAAAACGTGCCAAAGTGTACTCGTTATTATAGCCATTTAATTGTTTCTATAATATAGTAGTTATTATTCTAGTTTCTCTGGTTTTCCATTTTTATTTTACTTAGTTTACATGTTGTTAATAATTGTAAAGCGCTTAGAGCTTTAAGGTAAGTGCTATATAAAAATGCCTAAATAAATAAATAAATATAAAAGGATGCTATGCAGACATTACGATAGTTTTAAGAGGTAGTTTATGTCAATATAAAAGGGAGCTATGCAGACAATGTATAATCATTTTTTTGTGTGTAAGAAATAACATTTTAAAATTATAATATCGATTATGTCAATCGATATTGAATTTTTTGCTTGGGTAATGGGTCGGGTGAATACGAAACTTGTCCCTTAATCAAGCCATTTAATCTTGCAGGCGCTTTACACATTCAATAATGGAGCTTTTGAGAGACTTGTCTCATCTGTGATAACGTAAGGATTACCTGTGTGTACATTATGCATTTTATATGAAGCTTCGCGAAGGCGAAGAATTACTTCAAGTAAAAGTTTGCTAGATCGCTATACGTTTTCGTTGCTATCGTTAGTACCACCCTTCCATGTTTAACAAGAAAAAAATAAAATAAAAAACAATAACAAAAAAAAGGAAAAAAAATTCAATATAATAAGACAATTTAATGATAAGGAAAGAAAAAAGTACCAGCAGAAACAGATCACACACTCTTCAGCCCTCAGACAAACAGAACACATTGCTCTTTAGACGTGTGCTAAGGGTAATTTGGACGCTGAAGAGGATCAAAAAGAACAGCGTTGTCAGGCGCGTAGATTTAGGTTGACGAAGTACGTTCCTGAACAACAAGAATTTTCTAAACGCTGCACACATGTATATAATAAATAGCCACCCAAGCGAGTCGGTTAGTGTAAGAATGTCTAGGATAACATGCATGGGTAATAATCTGAATGACGCCAAGACATTAACACCTTAGACATGTATGACCTGAATGCGCCCTCTGTATGTCGTAAGCCATAATGTTCAGCCAAAATCGCTGAGCGGTGTAGTATTACACCAGAAAAATATCAAAAGATCATTAACAAGCATGGTAAAGAATACATTTCAAGTTGTGCAGCATGCCATGAAATAAAATTTGGATTTAAACACGGTATTACTTTATGTTTAGCAAATCATAATAAGTTCAACAATATGTTATAGTGTTTAACTTTTCAGAAAGTCGTAAATGCAACAAAAAAATATGTAAAAATATTTTAAAACATGATTTTCACTAGTTGGTTTTAATTCCCAATATTATCCATTAAGCCAAGATTTCACACAAAAAAATGATACTCTTTATATTTAAATCTAACTAGATTCCAAAAAGGGCCGTGAAATATCATATAATAAAGATATTGATTTTTTTTAGCTTTTCATGGTTCTTTAACAAAAAAATCATAATGATTTTCGTTTAAAAAGGTAATTCTGTTTTGAAAGAACGACTGGTGCATTATATCGATTCCACACTGATTGATTAACGCATAAAATACATTAAACACTGTTGAAAATTATTTTTCTTAAACTTTCAAATCCAATTCTATTTTCCTTTTAAATAGTGTATATGAAATTTCATACAATCTAGTAATAAGCTTTAATACATTAGCTTGATAATAAGCAAGAACAATTAAATTATGAACTGGCTTTAAATCTGTTTCTTAAAGGTTAACCTACAAATGTAAAAGCTGTTACATATTGAACATAAATTCTAATGGGGAATAATATATTTTAGCTTCATATATATATATATATATATATATATATATATATATATATATATATATATACAATATATATATATAATAGAGATATCTTTTTGTTTTTTTTTTTAACATACAAATATAAAAACTATTATATATAGAACATAAATACTAATGGGGAAAAATATATTTTATATTTATATATATATATATATATATATATATATATATATATATATATATATATATACAATATGTATATCTAATAGTGAAATTTCTTTGTTTGTTGTTTGATCAACGAAGGCTTGTACATGGAATGATGGATCTTGGCCAAACTGACACCATATATCCATCATTATACGGAAGGAACTATTAGTGGGTAATGAACTTTTTATAACATTTTGTTAAGAGCTGGAATCTAAAATGTGGTTTGTTTCAATATGAGCTATATCTGTTTAGGTCCGCCTATGACCTGTGATGCACCCTCATTGCCTGCCTAATCTTCTGTCTCGGGTTGATCCTGTAGTATAGGCCTAAATGTGTCTAAGTGTACTCGTTTTATAGTCATTTTAATTGTTTCTATAGTATAGTGTTACTATCCTAGTGTCTCTGGTTTTTCATTTTTATTTTACTTAGTTTACATGTTTTTAATAATTGTAAAGCGCTTAGAGCTTTAAGGTAAGCGCTATATAAAAAATGCCTAAATAAATAAATAAATATAAATAAAATTAACAACAAATACTCCTACACGAATAGATGGATCTTGACCAAACTTAGAACACTTGATTATCAATATTCGAATGCCCATGGGTACTGAACTCATGTTATCCTTTTCTCTGAGGCATCGGGACAAAATTCATTTTACTTTTTATACGCTATATAAACATCAATAAGCGTAATACACTTACATGAATAGATGGATCTTGTGCAAACTTAACATACATACATGTGGTTAACCATATGCAAATACCGATGGGTACTGATCTCATATCATCAAACCTTCTGGGGTTTGATGATCCATTAATTTTTCTCTATAAAAGCTATATTAATATAAACAATCTTATGGAACGCTTTATTTTCTTGATCAACTGATGGATCTATGCTTCAATTGTTAGCAATACCCTTCATGGTCCGTATTGGAATATCAGTGGATTTAAAACTAATGCAATCCCATAAATTCAGGGCTAATCTATAATTTCCAGAAAGTTCGAAAAAAAACCTGTAACTACTAGGGATATAAAGGACTCCGAATACAGTTAAAATCTGTCGATATCTGTCATGCTGTACCTTTGGGTGGGCAGTATCACTGGTACTTAACCATCCTCTAAATTTTTCAGATAAGCCTCTTATCGCGATATCCTGGAAAACTGGCTTTGCTGGCGGACTAAACAATGTGACGGTGGGGGGTGGGGTCGGAGTGTAAAAAATCCCTTTTGCAAGAACCGACCAGGGCGCAACAGTTGGGAGACGAACTTGCCGTGTTCGTGACAAAGGCAAGCTACCTAGTTTTAGGGCAGCGGTTCTCAACCTGTGGGTCGCGACCCCTTTGGGGGTCGCAGGACCCTTTCCATGGGTCGCCTAAGACCATCTGAAAACACATATCCTTACAGCTATGAAATAGCAACGAAAATAATTGTGTGGCTGGGGGTCGCCACGACACAAGAAACTGTATAAAAGGGTCACGGCACTAAAAAGGCTGCGAACCACTGTTTTAGGTCATCGGCTGTGGTTAGGCATGGAGAGGGGTGGTCGCCGGCAAGCGACAAGTGCCCTGCTAAGCTACGTAAACAGATTCACAATCAATACCGGCTTGGCCGCAGCCAGGTTACCAAGGGCTGCGCCTACCGTCTTTGACAGGGACGGAGGTTGAAAGTATGCTACTTGTCAGATAAAAAACAATATCAGGGCCAGGAATAACATTACGCTAGGTACTGGAACGTGAGATCGTTGTGAGAGACGGGCAAGGTGGAGGAAATAGTGCACGAAGTGGGCATTTACAGAAGGGACATCCTAGATCTGTTTGTAATGAGATGGGAAAACTTTGATGAAACATCGACCCTTGAATGCCAAGTCTATATTTTAGTGGACCCGAGGACACACACGAACA